GGGATTGGGTAAGGCGTAGGTAGTAGTACCTGTACTAAAGGACCTTCTGAGAATTTAGTTTTGAAGCCATTGAATATGAAACACAGAAATCAATGGAAGGGCATGGCCAGACCTGTGTTTCCCTCTAGATTTTCTTCTTGTGTCTCTCGGTGTTGTGATACTAGTGAACTGATGCGTAAGAGGAACCCAAGCTTCAGGTCAGGTCTTTCTCCCCTTACCATTGACAGTATGAGGACCAGGGCTACAAAATGGGATGGAATTCTCAGGAAAGATGGAATTTCACCAGGTGGCCTGTGGCTCCATCGGGGTGCTGGTCCCTGGGAGAATCCTAATGGGTACTGAGAACAGCCTCCCCAGCAGCTGATTTACCCCAGAAGCCTGAGATTCTTTCCTTCAACAAATACTTTTGGAGAACCTACTATGTGCCAGGCACTGTGCTAGGTACAAGGGATGTAGCAGTGGCTCAGCCAGCCACAGAATTCATGTTGTCCTGGTTGGGGACAGATTACATACCCCAGGAGGACTCGAGTGATACTGCAGGTCCGAGGGTGGGAGATGTAATGGAGAAGTGTAAGCAGAGGTAGTAGACAGAGTAGATATTTCTGAGGATGGGCCCTAGGGTGCTCCGATGTTTAGAGTTTGGGGAGATGAAGTGGAACCAGAGAAAGAGACCGGGCAGGAATAGCCATCAAGCTGCCTGGAAGGTGGGGCTTAGGTGGTGGTGTACAAGCGGGGAGATGAGAAAGAGGGGAGCAGTCGTATTGGGTGCCACTTCCCTGTCCAGGTGAGCCCAGGGATGCCACTGGACGTGCAGTGAGGACCCCGTGGGTGAGTGTGAGAGGAGGATGGGGTGCAGGCCCCCGGGAAAGTAGAAGAAGGGGATTACGACCGCCAAGCAGAGAAGAGGGGCAGAAGCTGGTGACTCTGGTCCCCCTTGTTCTCCGTGTCCCTCGCTGCAGCCGATCCACGATCTTTGTGCGTCTGCACACCAACGGAAACCAGGAGCTCCAGTATCAGCCCGGAGACCACCTGGGGGTCTTCCCTGGCAACCACGAAGACCTCGTGAATGCCCTCATCGAGCGGCTGGAGGACGCGCCCCCTACCAACCAGATGGTCAAGGTGGAGCTGCTGGAAGAGCGGAACACGGCTTTGGGTAATAAATACCCTGGGACCCTTCCCTTGCCTTCTCCAGGGAGGCCCAGAGGTGGTGTGGGTCATGGGAAGGGGAGACCCCGTCCTCTTCCTAGCCACCAATCCACAGAGAAGAGTGGCTTCTCTGTTCCCTCCAGCCTTGCAGACGCTCTTGACCTTTCTCATGGCTGACCAAGCAGACACCATGACACCAGGCATCTGGACAAAGGGATTTCTGCTGTGCTCGTCGCTAGACATTCATTTAGCTACCGTCCCCTTTGTCCTCCTCTCCATCACCCCATAAGAAAATTTGTGACACCCCACTGCCCCCCCAAGTAAATATCAGCTGAAGTCTGATCCTGACTCTTCTTAGAGCCTGGGCCTGATTCCTATTAGAGTGGGATCCTAACTCCAAGCCCATGCCAGCTGAGATCTGAGCCAGGCCCCCTTTAGAGTCAAAGGGACTTGCAGACTCAGTGGCCGCGGAGGGACTTGGCCCACATGTTTGACCTCGTTGGAGGACCTGTGAAGTGACCATCCTTGGCGTTCCCCATGAGGAGCCCTCAAAGGCAGATGGGTCTCAGGGCTCCACGTCACAGCTATAGGTGGGGCTCAGGGCTCTCACGTGGCAGCCCATAGCAGCACCCCAACTGCTGTCTTCACACAGGAGCTAAGGTGTGCAATCAGCAGAATGGAGGAGAAGCTCACAGGCAGAGCCCTCCTGAAAATCCCTCACAGGCTCACATCTCTCTTAGGAAATCCCACCTGGCTTCTCGTCCTCTGGGTTCCGGGAAGGAAATGCTTATGCTCAGGGGCCGCATGGGATGCACCCAGAGGAAAAGAAATCCTCACTCGGAATCCGTGGGAACAGGTCCCCAGGACTGCTGGAAGTCATGAAAATCCAGATGCCCAAGTCCACTGTTCAAATGGCATGTGCTATTTATTCCTAACCTATGCTCAGCCCCCTGCGTGCTTTAAAGCACTTCTGGGTTACTTAAGACACCCAGTACAATGCAATCTCTGTGCACAGTTATTATGCCGTGTGGTTTAGGAACTAATAAAAAGCAAAAAGGCCTATCCATGGCTAATACAGATGAAGCCCTCTTCACATACTTTCCATCCTTGGTGGAATTCACAGAATGCAGAAGCCAAAGGTATGGAGATGGACAGCTACAGTGCAGTACTCAGCAAGATCTGATACCAGGCTCCCCGACTCTGCCCCCTCACGCCCCCGAGCTGTGTGACCTCGGGCAAAGCCCTGGCCTTCTCTGTGCCTTGATATTTCTCAGGATAATGGTATTGCTCGCCACCTGGGATCGTTGTGAGGCTTAAATTAGTTAATAATACAAAGCGCTGAGAATGGTCCTTGGTGCATAGAAAGTGCTAGATGAGTCTCAGCTACATGAGCACCTTTTGCCAAGAGGTGAGAAGCAGACAATACAAGAGGACAGATACGGTCAGAACATGCTTCTGGTTATCACCCAGGACTCTCTCATACTGTTTTTCCCCTCTTTTACATTTTTGTTTTTATTTGGTTTGGTTGGTTCTCATGAGGTTTGGAATTGAATACAGGGTCGTTACACGGAGCTACATCCCTGGTCTTTTTTTGTTTTTTTGGAAACACAGCTGCCCTAATTCAGTAAGTTACCCAGACCTCAGTCTAGGCTCGAGCTTGAGATTCTCCTGCCTCAGCCTCCCAGGCATCACTTGGATTTGTATTTATTCTTTAGCTCCTTGTACTCATGAGGGGAGCTCAGGTTCCCCTGGACCCTACAGATGTGTGGAAGAGGGAAGCTCGCATGGCCTGGCCCGGGGCCGCGCTGCTCCTCCAGGGCATCCTCTGCTGCCGCAGCAGGCCAGGAGCAGACCCAAGGCCTTCTCTACATCCCTGTCCCCTTGTGCTTCCTCAGGCGTCATCAGTAACTGGAAGGACGAGCCCCGCCTCCCCCCCTGCACCATCTTCCAGGCCTTCAAGTACTACCTGGACATCACCACACCGCCCACGCCCCTGCAGCTGCAGCAGTTCGCCTCCCTGGCCACCAGTGAGAAGGAGAAGCAGCGCCTGCTCGTCCTCAGCAAGGTGGGTGCCCCGCCCCATATCGCCCATCCTCACTGGGTGCCTTGCACCTCCTGCTCACTGGCAAACTGTGGCACTGTTGTTCCAACATCTGTCCAGCAGAGGGCAGCTTGTACCGTTTTCTAACCTGCACGTGGTCACCGTGTTGGTTTCTCCGGTTTGCCTGGTCTTAACCGTCTAAAGCACATGGGCAGCCCCTCTGAACTGAGCCTACTCTGGCCACTGCAGAAGTTGCTACTCTCCGCCTCCACCTTTGCCCTTCTGAGCTCCCATGAGTTCCAGCTCAGCCCTTTCTTGGAAAAAAGAGAAGCAGCATCTCGTAGTGCTCTGGTGAAAGGAGCTGTAGGACGAACAGTGAGGCACAAGCGGCCTCTGGTGGTCAGGAAGGCAAGCAAGCTTATGCGACCCTTATGGCACAGAAATGTGGCTGTTCAGTAGGAACTCTCCCCAGAACCCCAGCTACTCCAGCTGCTGAGCGCGAAGCCAGCCTGAACAATGAGCCAGACCCTGTCTCCAAATTAGAAAAAATTTTCATGGCCAGGGTTGTAGCTCTATAGTAGAGTCCTTGCCTAGTATGTATGAGGCTTTGGGTGGGGATCGCACAGGGAAAGAGCAGGAAAAGGGGAAAGGGAACGGAGAGAAAGGAAGAAGGAAGGATCCTACCCAGGAGGCCTTCCCAGTGGGGTCTCCTTGCCAGTAAGCAAGCCCCTAGCAAAGGATGCTTAAGCCTCCGCCTGCCCTCCAGGAGAAGGGATTGAATGGTGGGCCATGAGCAGCAGGCTGGTTAGCAAGAGCATACTATTTAGAAATATGGAAATAAACACCAGAAGAAACAGAATTCTCAGTGGTTACCTCGGGAGAGCTAAAATCAGATGGCCCTGGTAGGGCAGGAGGCCACTGGTTTTCATCAGGCGCCTGGAAGGATTATTGATCTTTTACACTATGTGCATAATTGATTGTGATTTTAAACTTACAGTCCATGGCGAGGCGGTGCAGTGTCAAGGACCAAGGTAGCTCAGTGGTCTAAAGCGCCTGCTTAGACAAACTCAGGCTGGCCCAGGGGACTGCAGCTTGATCCCCAGCACCACATGCTGCATCAGCCCCACCCTCAGGGCGGGCTGAGCCGGCCAAAAAAGAAGGAAGGACCAGAGGTCATGCCCTTCGCACAGGATTATATGACATAGAAATTTATGTAATCATATGTGTGTGACCATTTCTTCTGAAAAGCACAAAGTCTCTTAAGATGGGATAAATGAGCAAGGATTTTTTTTATTTTGATGGAAAAGTGTGTTAAAGGAAACAGAAAAAAGAGTCAGAGAAGGCGGGAAGAATCACCAGATCTTTATTTATTTATTTTTTTTTCTGTATTTTAGGGAAGGGTCTGCAGGGTGTTCAGGGTCTCACTGCATAGATCAGACTTGTAGTGATCCTCCTGTTTACAGCCTCCCAAGAGCTGGGGTTACAGGCCTGTGCCACCACGCCCAGTCTCAATTGCCATCTCAGCACACCCTAGGGGTGGGGCCGGCATGGGGATCAAACCCCCAGCCCCTGCGCCTGCTTGCAGGCGCTTTAATCTGCAGAGCTATTTCTCTGGCCTTCCCAGATCTTAAAACAAGGCTAACACCAAGCGAAACAGAAGGAGGCCGGGTCAGAGCCACTCAGATTGCAATGCAATTTATGGAGGGAAAAACAAGGTTCTTGAAGCATCCTAGAAGCAAAGGCTTCCATCCCAGCAGTGAGCCTCTCTTGGGATCTTTCATTCTGTGATCAATTCCAGACTGTAAACAGCCCATTTGTCTTAGTTACTTTCTCATTGCTGGGAAAAATAAAATACCTGACACCCACAAGTTAAAAGGGAAAAGGTTTTAGCTCCCAGGTTGCAGAGGTTTCTGGTCTATGGTTGACCCACTCCAAGGCAGGGGAACACGACAGAGAAAAACAGCGGGAGAGAAACAGCCTGTGGCCCAGCAGGCAAGAAGCAGGGCCTTCCTTTCTCTTACCTTTTTTATTCCACCCAAGCTACAAGTCTATTGGTTGGTGCCACCTACACCCAGAGTGAGTCTCCCCTTCACTAAATCCATCATCCACACCCAGAACTATGTTAAACGAAGCAGTGGACTGAATCACATCCCCATGATCGACCACTTCCAAGAGCCCCACCTATGATCTCATGAGGCTTTGGTGGTGATGGGGGGGTATCCAGATAGAAGCCATAACACCCCAGAACCAGACCTGGCGTCAGCCCTGAGGACGGCTGTCAGCCTCAGGCAGGTGACAGGTCCAGCTCAGTGTCCACCTCAGATAGCCTCCGCTGGCGCTCTTGGCCAGATGTGCCGCAGCATCTGGAGCTCAGCCAGGCTTCAGGTACAGGCTGCACATTCACAGGACATACGCTTCCTATGCATTAGGCAAGGACAGTCTCCAGGACCACACTCCAGTGCGCCTTGCCACACACGCGTGTAATGCACTCTGCTTCCCCTCCCAGGAACTGAGCCTCTGGTGCCGACAATAAGGGACACCAGGGCATCTTCTGAGATGTAAGAAAAACAACTCCAGAGCCCCAGAGAGTTCCCATGTCCCCTGGTAACAGCTGGGCCTTGCTGCCAATACACCCCCAACACAGCCCTCTCCACGCTCTAACCTGTTTTTCCTGCAGTGTCAACTTATCACCTTGAACACACCCAAGGAAGCTGCCCCAGCCTCCTCCGCAACCCGCACGCTGCAGGTGTGCTTGCTGCAGCTGCCACGTCCTGTTGTGGGGCTGGAGTCACTAAGACGCGACCTCCACAGGGCCTCACTCTTGTCCTGCAGGGAGCCGTAAGGGTTAGGAGCAAAAGCTTTCATTCCAGACTGCCTGGGGCAGGGGTCAGCAGATGTTTTCCTGTACAAGGCCAGGTGATGAGCATCTCAGTGTGCAATCCCTTTGGTCTCAGTTCCAACAATTGAACTCCACCATGGCAGTTCGGCAGCATAGACAATACATCAGTAAGCAGGCATGACCCCGGGTCAACAAGGTCTTAGAGGACTCAGATATTTGAATTTCATTTCCTATTCTTGTCTCATAAAATATGGCTCTTTTGATTTTTTTTTTTTTTTTGCAAACCATTTAAAAAATGTAAAAACAATTTTTATCTCATGGTCCATACAGAACCAGGTAGGTGGCAAACCAGGAGCAGCTGCTAGCTAAAGTTTGCTACACACTCACTTAGATTCGGAGGCCAGCATCACCACTCCATAGCCACAAGACCTCTGCATCCTGCCATGTCCTCATCCACGAAATGGGCATAACAGTAATACCTGCTGTGGTCTGACTGTTTCACCTCTTCAATAAATTCACATGGGGCTGGGGAGATAGCTCAGTGGTCTAAGCGCCTGCCTGGCAAGCGCAAGGACCCAGGTTCAATCCCCGGCACTGTATGCCATGCCAGCCCTAGAACCCCGGGCATGCCATTCCAGCCACTGAAACTGGGCGTGGTGGTGTATGCCTGTAATCCCAGCTCTGGGGAGGCTGAGGCAGGAGGATCACTATGAGTCCAAGCTGCACAATGAGACCCTGTACCAAATAAATAAAGATTTAAATAAATTCATATGTTGAGACTAAGCCTACAAGGTGAGGGTATTGAGGTGGGGCTTACCAGGCAGGGTGGAACTTAGCAAGACCTGGCTTCAAGATGAAGTGTTAGGAACGGTTGGGGTATAGCAATAGCTCAGCGGTAGAGCCTGCGGACCTGGGTTTCATCTTTCATCCTGCACTGAAGAAGTAGAGAAGTTGGGCGGTGATTAGGTCAGGAATCTTTTGTCCTTGGGCATGGGGTTGGTGTCTTTATTAGGAGGACCAGAGGAGCTGGTTCACCTTTTTTTTAAGTACTGAGGATTTCACCCCAGCCTTCACACTGAGCTATACCCCTAGTCCTTCCTTTCTTATTTTGAGACAGAATTTCCCTAAATCACTAAATAGCCCAGGCTGGGCTCAAACTTGAGATCCTCCTGCCTCAGGCTCCAAGGGCGCTGGAATCACAGGGTGTGTCCCACCACGCCTCCTTTGGTTCACCCCTTCTACCTCGTGAGGACATGTAGTAAGTGCCATCTATGAAGAGTAGCCTTCCCCGGGCAGCAGATCCACTGGAACTTTCATTCCCATGGTCTGTCTTCCACATAATCCATTGTCCAGGTCAACCTGATAAAGGTATTTGGGGTTGGCAGCCCAAGTGAACCAAGGCACTATGGATTTCAGAATGTCCTCCAAAGATGCAAACCCTGAACGACACAGCTCCTCGAAAGTGGTACACAGTATGGCTCTTTATTTGCACCCACTGGAAATAGGCAGCAGCTAGCCTCATACTCTGCTCCATCCCTTTCTGCTGCAGGGGCTGCAGGAGTACGAGGAGTGGAAATGGGGCAAGAACCCCACAATGGTGGAGGTGCTGGAGGAGTTTCCGTCCATCCAGATGCCGGCCACCCTGCTGCTCACCCAGCTGTCCCTGCTGCAGCCTCGCTATTACTCCATCAGCTCCTCCCCGGACATGTACCCCGACGAGGTGCACCTCACTGTGGCCATCGTCTCCTATCATACCCGAGGTGGGCAGAGCGCAGGTCTGCATTCCCCTAGGGCCACAGCAGCTAGGCTCCCGGCCATGCCCTGGGGCAGCTCACCTGGCAGCGGTCCCAAGCTCTCACCTGTGCTGCCCCTCCTTGAAAAGCAATTGAAATGCATGGTGCCTACAGACTGCCACCAGGACCCTGTATGCGCACCCCCATATCTTGCCCAAGGCCATCTCAGTGGACAGTATTTGAATACAACCCACCTGCACCCAACAGAACCCTGGGCTAGTGCCCAGCCACCACCACCCCAGCTCTTGCACTTCCTCTCCCCCTTTGGAGGTCTTCCGAGATCATGAATTCCAAAGTGGGAGTGTAGTGCTAGCCTGAAATCTTCCTGCCCTGGAGGGTGGAGGAGGCGGGGGCAGCGGGCCAGCCAGACCACCCTGCTTCTTCCTCTGCTAGATGGAGAAGGACCAGTTCACCACGGCGTGTGCTCCTCCTGGCTCAACCGGATACAGGCTGACGAAGTGGTGCCCTGTTTTGTGAGAGGGTGAGTGGCAATGAAGAAAAGCTAAGGGCCAGGGAGATAGCTCAGTAGAATAAGCATTTACCTGGCAAGCGCAAGGGCCTGAGTTCAATCCCCAGTTCTGCAAAAAAAAGAAAGAAAGAAAGAAAGAAAGAAAGAAAGAAAGAAAGAAAGAAAGAAAACCAAGAGACCGTCTCAGATCTGCATGTTGGGGCCACAAGTTGGAGTGGGCGGGGAGGAGCCCAAAGGGCTGCAGGGAGTTGACTGGGTCAGAGAAAGTGCAGACCGACACCCTGCATTATTCCAAGATGTTAGGGAAATAGGGTGATGAGGTTGAGTGGCACAGCAAAGCCAAGTCTACGTGACAAATACTCCTCAAGGCTATGGATGTGGTACAAGCCAGGCTCCAGTGGGCACCACTCTCAGTCTGTGTGGTATTTGCAGACTAGTTGGAATTCTACCCAGCTTCTTCTGGGCATCCTCAGTCTGTCCCCAGTTTCATTCAGCTGCCCCCATCCACTGAAACATTCCCTTCCCCTTTCCTTGTTAATAAGCAGACCCAAATACAGACCCCTGTCGGGCACCTGCTTTGCCAATCAAAAGCATCTGCACCTGAGCCCTGGCCACGGCTCACCATTGTTCCTTAGCCACTGAGAGTGGAATCTTCACCATATGGCCCACACAGCTTTGGCATTGAACTTCCTGGGGGCCCATAAATACAGAATCCTGGGCTCAGACTTCTGCCTCGCTGCCTGATCTGCCCTGGGCTCTGCTGTTTGGAATCAGATCTGAGTTCAGCAAGACTTCTGACTCTCTCTTCCTTGTCCAGCGCACCCAGCTTCCGCCTACCCCAAAACCCCCAGGTCCCCTGCATCCTGATTGGTCCGGGCACCGGCATCGCCCCCTTCCGAAGCTTCTGGCAGCAACGGCAGTTTGACATCCAGCATAAAGGTGGGTAGGTGATATATCTCTTTTGCTTCCCTGCCTAGGATGGACAGAGATACTGTCCTGACCCAACCCACGGGAGAAGTTCATGGTATCTTCCCAATGGCCCTTCCAGACCCTCCACACGGGGTCCTGCGATCCTGCAGTCCCCTTTCTTTGACAGTCAGAGGAGGCTGCTGCTAAAATCAACAGACTTAAATGGGGCAGGTGTGAGTCCTTATCGAATAGCTGTGCTTGTTCACTGACCCCTAGACGGCCTCTCGAGAGCAGGCTTGCTGCGTAGGGGCCGCAACCATTCATCTGCAGGAGGAGCAGAGGGAGAGAACCCGCCGTGAGAGGCATCATCGGATGAGATTTAACGTGCTCACCACACGGCTGCAATTCATGTCTCCTGGCCAAGCAGCTCTGAGTTGAATCCAGCCACCCCCCACCGGTGACACACACATGACTGTCCCATTGCCAGCCAATGATTGGTACAGCAGATAAAAATACATATTATATACACCAGCAGTGGGGTCCTTGTAAGATATCCATGATAAATTTTAGAGAATTAATTACGATAAACTATTAATTTAATAAACTTAAATTTGTTATTTCAGTATTTTTTAATCGGTATGGCTAGTGTTCATTCATGTTTTTACTTGGGTGGTAATTATTCAGATTCAAGCAGCTAACTAGATTCCACCCATTTGTAGACTTTTTATTAAGTTTATTAGTCAAAAGATCAATAAAAGCGACTAGATCCTTTGGCCCCACCAGTGGCACAGCCATCCAGTGGAGCAGTCGTGTATGTGTCACAGTGGCTCAGGCTGGCAACTAAGGAGTACCCTCCGCCAACAGAGGTGCCGGGACTGTGACAACATACAGAACAGAAAAAGAACTCAAATAAAAAGAGAATTCTTTCCCACGGCACTGGGGGTGCGGCAGAACAGATGAGATTTGCAAAAAGCTCACCAGAGGCCAGACCCAGTTCTCCCACTTCACTTCCCACCGTAATCTCGTGAGGCAGGCGCCGTCACCACCATCAGCCCTTGGGACCCGTGCGTCCCAATCTGCAGAGTCGCCCAAGTGCTGATTCAATATACTAGAAGAAAAGCTTCCATCTATATTGAACACGTGACAGCTTCTATGTGGTGCTGGTTCTGATGACTGAGCACAGGGCCTCACGCATGCTAGGCAAGCTGTGCGTGACTGAGCTACGTGCCCAGATCCCTTTCTTTAATCAGTATTTTTACTTTGAAAACAGGTCTCACCAAGTTTCCCTGGCTGGCCTTGAACTTGTGTCTTCCTGCCTTGGCCTCCCCAGTAGCTAGGATTATGTGTGCATGTACCGCTATGCCTGACTTTTTTCTGTTATTATTCCCCTAAACAATGTAGTATAAGAACTGTTTCTGTGGTGTTGGTTGTTGTAATTATGTGTTTTAAGGCGTGCGGGAGGATACGCATACGTTCCGTGCAATTACTGTACCATTTTATAGAAGGAACTTAAACACCCACAGATTTTGGTATCCAAGAAGGGGTAAATACAGAGGGACGACTGTGTTTCTATTTTGCACTTGGAGAAACTGAGGCATAAAAGGCTAAACTGGGCACCGTCACATACAGCTGGAATTGGGACCCAGGAGGTCTGGCCCAAGTCTGGGCTGTCATGTTGCCTGGTACTGGGGGCTGCTAAGCAGTATGGGGCCCACAGGAACGGTAGACACCCAGAGAGGGGAGTGTGTCGAGGCCTGAACACACCAAGCCACCTTCTGCTCTGTGTGTGTGTGTGTGTGTGTGTGTACCCACACGTCTGCCTGCCCCAGTGCTCCTCAGCCTGGGTCTACACAGCACATCTCAAGGTCCCAGCTCCCCACCCTGGCATCTCCACCCACCCCCACATGGGCTCCAAAGCCCTCCTCAGTGACACGTGGCCTTCTGGTTCCCAGGAATCAGTCCCTGCCCCATGGTCCTGGTCTTCGGGTGCCGGCAATCCAAGATAGATCACATCTACAGGGAGGAGACCCTACAGGCCAAGAACAAGGGCGTCTTCAGAGAGCTGTACACAGCCTACTCCCGGGAGCCGGACAAACCAAAGGTGAGCCCTGCACACTCGTGTGAACGCATTCTAGGAGCAGACTCGGGACTCTGCCCCGACTTGGCCCTTTCTGGGTTACCCTGAGTACTTCAGAAAGCCTGGAAAGGGATCTATTTGTAGTAGGTTTCCCCTCATAGCAGATGGAAAGGAGACAGACAGGAAGAGAGAGAGGCAGAAAGAGAAACACTCAAAGAGAAAGAGAAAGGAAGCACCTGGAACAGATCTGACCTCCAGCAGTACACCCCCCAGGAACCTACTTCTTCCAGTGGGGCTCTGCCAGAGACTCATCACTCAGCCAGGAACTCATCAGTGGATTAATCCAGTCATGACATGAACATGGCTGCACTGGAGTCTGGCCCTCAGTCCACAGGTCTCTGGGGACCTCTTCCTATCTCCGCCACAGCACTCTTGAAAGGCTTTAGCACTCCATGACCTGACTGCTGGTTAGTAGCAGCCTAGAGCCTGGGAAGGGGTAAAGGGAATGAACTCTTCGCAAATGTCCGCTTTCCACCTACAGTGACAAGGAAGCTCTGGGACTGAGCCAGGCCTGGTGGGACAAGCCTGTCATCCTAGCAGTGTAGGAGGCTGAGGCAAGAGGGTTACAAGTTCAAGCCCAGCCTGAACACCTTAGCAAGGTCCTGTCTCAATTTTAAGAAGAGAGAGACAGGGATGTAGCTTGACACAAAGACTCTGGGTTCAATCCCTAGCGCCACAAAAAAAAATAAAATAGAATAGAATAATTTATTTCACAGCCCTAAGAGGCAGTACCCAAGGGCTGGCTAGATAGCCCAGTGGACTAAAGCAACTGCTTAGGCAAGCTGAGATGGTGATTGAGACTGGGTGTGGTGGCATGCACCTGTAATCCCAGTGCTTGGGAGGCTGAAAACAGGAGGATCCCTGGAGTCTGATCTACATAGTGAGACCCTATAAACCCTATAATAAATACATTTTTTTAAAAAGAGGCAGTACCCACCAGAATGGACATGGGACATGGGACATGGGACTGGTGATGGTTCTATTGGATTTTGGGTGGTCCGAGTGATTAGTCCTGGGGAAAGGGCCAGAGCACCAGAGGGGGGGTGGCACTCAGTGGCTCTAGACAGCAGTTGACAGCTGGAACCCAGCTGGCACCAGCCTATGTCCATATTATTAGCCAGTGTCAAGTATTCAGATCTTATTAGCTGAATGTGGCAAAGCCTGGAGCTGGGAGATCCTGCACAAGTTGAAAACACCCCAGCAGCAGTAGAAATTGCCCTGGTACACCCCACACACACCCTGTGCGCATGCTCTGAGCTTACTGTAGCTGGCCTGGGCTTCTCTAGCACTGCAGCCTGGGGGCCTGCTGGTGCCCAGCCACCCCCGGAAGTGTACAGAGTCCACGCCCCATGTGTGCCCATTGGCCACTGCTGGGAGGAGCAAGCAGATCACAGCCCCCCCCTTTGGATGCCTTGACTGGGGATGCCTCTGGGGAGCATGGGTCTTTATGCTCCAGTCAACCAAAGTGGAGAGCATCTCCTCCCCACGCTGTTCAACAGCACCCCCACCTTGCCAGCCTCACACTTCCGGCCCCTCACTCCCTCCTTCCCTGCAGCCACCTGCCCACACACCCTTGGGTCCCCCCATCCTTTCTGGGGGGCACATAAGCTGCCCTGGGAGCCTCACACAGCTGGTCTCCTGCCCCCTGCAGAAGTACGTGCAGGACGTCCTACAAGAGCAGCTGGCCGAGGCCGTGTACCGAGCCCTCAAAGAGCAAGGGGGCCACATCTATGTCTGCGGGGATGTCACCATGGCCGCCGACGTCCTCAAGGCCATCCAGCGCATCATGGCACAGCAGGGGAGACTCTCGGAGGAGGACGCCGGCGTGTTCATCAGCAGGCTGAGGGTGAGTGGCGGCAGGCTGGCTCCCCGGCTCCCCGGCTCCCCTCCTGGCACCCAGCTTCCTGTCTCCTCTTACTCCACCAGTCAACGATTAGGGAAGCCGTGGGGATGTCCCTGCTCCCCATCTCGCATGTATGCCCAGGGCAGAGGATAGAGGTAGTCCTGACTGGGTAGGACTGGGTAGAGAGAAAGAAGGGCAGGAAGACAGGCTAAGTACCGAATATGGCTGGGAGCTATAATGCCTCAAAATAACAAGGGACCTCTGGGTGACACAACCCTTCCTGATGCAGAACCAACCTGTCCAGTTGTACGGGTTGTGCGTGATACAAAAAGCTCTGTCCAAGGGGAACAAGCAGGGTCTGAAAGCCACCTCATGCTGCTGTCACCAATCCACACACTGGAGTGGAACTGCGTGTACTGTTGTGGAAGAGCCTTTTTCTAATGCACCTAAAGGCTGTCATAGAGGTGACCAATAGCTCAGCCAGTAAGTCATAATCATATGACCAGCTGGTCCAATGGGAGCAAAGCTCCCAGGATGCCCCATGCCCCCTCCTACCCCACCCGTCCTGCTGCTGCTCTTCTTCTTCTTCTTCCTTCTGCTTTTCTTCTTCTTCTTCTTCTTCTTCTTCTTCTTCTTCTTCTTCTTCTTCTTCTTCTTCTTCTC